AAAACGTTAAATGAAGCCTAAGTGCAAAATAAAATGAACACCTGTATAACAAACCTTCCTTTGCAGGGCCACAAGGTCTTAGATAGTTGACACCTAGTCCAGTCGTTTACATTTTCCAATAAGAACCTGATGAAGTCAGAGAAATGGATCATATTACAATAAAATACACAAACAGGGTTAAAGGTCAATCTAAAGCGTTCATGTCTCAGTTCATAATGATGCAAAGCTAGTGGGGAAGTTGAGAAGGGGTGGTAAAGAAGGGGTGGTCAGGTAGCTGTAATGTGGGTGGGGTGAAAGGTCAGTGGGGTGGATGGTGCCGATCTGACACTTCTCTGTTTAAGGGCATTGTTGTGGTGTGGCTGCAGGCTGCGGCTGGGGGGACCCTGGCAATGTGGCAGAAGAGACGGTGAAGGTAGTGATGTTTTTGCTTGTCTTGTTTGAGTAACAAGAGCTGTCTCTTTTTTTTTTTACTCACCTATTTAAATGTACTTGTTTCATTCCTTTTTTTTTACACTTGTTTCACACTAGAACACACTTCTCCACACGTCTGTCTTTAATATTTTTCTTTTAAATGAAACATCAATATTGCAAAGGGTGCTAACTCGCCCAAACAAGAGGGTGAACCTGAACATAGTGGAGTCACAATCAATAGGCTGCTTTCTTTTGTGTTCCTCTATGGTTTTTGTTAGTTTTGTCATCATCACTTTTATGTTGTAGCGTTGCTTAACATAAGGTTTAAACCAAAGTCACCCATGCTTAAGCGTAACTGAGTTAAACGGCTACACATGTAATGTTGCTCTTATGAGTAATGTGTTAATACTGCATCTCTATATGTGAACTGTATAACCAGACAATTTTTCTCATTAGAACTTAAAATAAGAGTGGATGTGGTGTGTGAGAGAGCGTATTTAAAGAGAGACTGAGAACCTAAAACCATCTAATTAAACAACGAAAGTGAGAAGCTGCATGTAAACATAGATACACTCATCTGCACCCGAGTGTCCGTCAGTCCTCCGATGCTCATCGCTCTGCTCTGTTGTTCCAGGTGGAACCATGAGCGTGATCCTGGACCTGCCCTATGTCTACTCCATCATCATCTCCTCAGTGGTGGCCATAATCTACACACTGCTGGGGGGGCTCTACTCTGTGGCTTACACAGACGTCATCCAGCTGATCCTCATCTTCATCAGCCTGGTGCGTAACCGTCTACTGATATGGCAACGCAGGGGCTCCCGCTGAGAGACAAATATTATTCAAGCATGTATCCTATCAGGTTACTCGCTCTGCTGCATGAAAGAATATAGAAGGATAAGATTTCAATATAGAGTCAACAGGTAGCTTATTAACAATGCAAACTGGTGCTATTAAACCAGGCTCTGGTTTCAGTAGCTTTTTTGAAATTTCCATCACTCAGTTTTCAAAATGGCTGCCATCCAGATAAGCAAATAAGATTGTTGATGTTACAGCTGTCAACTGCTAAAAGGCTGCTATGTAGGCGCGTTCATGTACCACCGTTGGGAAGCCCCATGTTTGTCAAGGCTCTGTCTGCACGCTAAGACTCCACGTCACACCCCCAAAAGTTGTTATTCTCTACCTTTGCAATGGTAGATCTCCACATTTGTTCAACGGCAACTTAAGGACAACCGGCAGCCCTCGTGGCACCGGCATGCTAGTTGTTAGTCGAGCAATTCTACAGCTTGAAATGAGCAAAAAATGGACCTGAAACCTTTTCCCTAAATGCTGATTAAGCTTAAAAGTTTAGAAACTGATGAGTAGGCTTCCGTCACGAGCCATTTAATATCTGTTCTTTGATCTTAATATCACATAATCTTCTGCTGCCGGTGGTGTTTTCAGAGGTTACAGAATTTTCCATTCTGCAAAGAATTTCGGGTCTGTGTTGACTTAAACGTTAAACCATTTAAGTCTGCAGACAGAGAAGATTTTATGTGATTAAGAATGTCCAGAACAGCAAATGAATTGACTGTTTTTTGTTGACTGCATTTCACTCAGAATAAAAAACCCCGGGGGAATAAAAAGTGTTGACGTCCTCAGTGTCTGATGAAAAATATCCCCTGCTGAGCTAATAATCAGATCATCTGTGTTCTTGCTTGTGTAAACAGTGGGTGTGCGTCCCTTTCATGATGACCAACCCTCACTCTGTGGACATCTCGCTGACTGCATACAACGTAACTTTCCAGGCTCCTTGGGTCGGCACCGTGGAGCTCGATGAGGCGGGCAAGTGGTTCGATGACTTCATGCTGCTGGTGAGTGTGAATGTTATAAAAGCCACACGTGGAAGTGGTACTCAACATTGTTTTTCAGCAAAGCAAACGAGTTAAATTAAACTTGGCCAAGGATTGATCTTGTCCTGTTTCACACTCCAAGCCGATTCCTGTCATCGTGTCTGAACTGTGTGTGTGTTTGTGCCAGGCTCTGGGCGGTTTGGCCTACCAGGCGTTCTACCAAAGGATCCTGTCCTCCTCATCTTACACCCAGGCTCAAGTGACCTGCTTCGCCTCTTCGGCCTGCTGCCTGGTGCTCGGTATCCCCTCAGTCCTGATCGGGGCCGTGGCTGCATCTACAGGTAAAGCCTCTAAACTTGCACCTGTGGAAAATTCCTTCATCAGCTTTTCACCTTAGCACAAATTTCTTACTGATATGATTGTGTCCATCTCCTTAATGGGGAAATTTGATCTCCCCTGCTTCCTGCTAGATTGGAACTCAACCTCTTATGGATTGCCCACCCCGTACGAGCGCGACCAGGCAGGATCCATCCTCCCCATCGCTCTGCAGTACCTCACACCCCCCTACGTCTCTGTCATTGGCATTGGGGCTGTAGCTGCTGCTGTCATGTCCTCCATGGACTCGGCCCTGCTATCCTCTGCCTCATTGTTCTCCTCAAATATCTACAAGAACATCATCAGGAAGCAGGTGAGTGTTTTTAGCAGCACTAATCAGATTGTAAAAACAGCAGTGTGTTCTGCTCTGTTGCATTGAGGCAGCATTATAATGTCTGTGCATCCTTTTCTTTTAACTACCTATCTTAACTCCAGGTCATTGCAAATGGAGCCATCGTAGCATCATATCAACCGTGGACGGTTTACCAAACAAGCATGTGGTTTTGTACTATGCAGGAAACCTCACCCTTGCACAGAGGTGGTGGTGGGGATATTTAAACTTAGAACCTTCTTACTGTGAGACGACACCACAGCACCAGTTTGCAGTGTCCTATTACTACTTGATCCTGGTCTGAAGGTCCATTGTGCTGCCACCTTCAGGTGTAATGCAATGCCATTTTTGTTTATGTGAAGGAAAAGTTCCATTAGGGATCAAATATGATCTTCCAGAAAAGGCGTGTCAGCGTCTGCTGCTCAAGAACACTTTGTTCCTAAATGAATCATCCCAGTGGTATGGACAACTGCGGTAATGCTGATGAATCATCCAATAAGGAGGCTTCATTAATTCAACTGACAATGCCATCTTGTTAGTCATAGATCAGCAGCTGTAGTGCTCACCATCTTTTGGTTTTGCTGAATTTGCTGACTTTAATTCAGCAAACTGTCTTCATTTATGCTTCTCAGATGTTAAAAATATCCCCCCATCTTGCACTGTCATCACCATAACGGTCAGCGTAGATAAAACACTGTTACTGGTTGACATAAAACATTGTTTTTCATGTGCCGGTGGCAATTTCACTTCATAAGAGATTTAATTTTCTGGCATACTGTGGAGATACAAATGATGATTCACCAGGATTAATCATCAATTTCCTTTGAAAAGGCATGAAACACAATGTGCAGCCATTTATGCAGGAGATCTGTACTTAAGCTGTAATAATCATTTCATTTACATTAACATTTAAAGAAACAGACAGCATGAAAAAAAAGTTCTTAACTGTGCAGAAAGAATTATTTGAAAGCAACGACCTGTTTCATTATTTCAACTACACCCAGTGTTTCCTACAGTGAGACTGTTCACTGCTGGCGTCTCGCACAGTGGCTTAGATATACAGCATCTCTTCACCTTGGAGGGCTCAACAAGCTGCATGTTTATGTAATGTATTATTTAACTCTGTTTGTCTGTCTTGTCATTTCCTCTGCTCCTTCAGGCTTCAGACTGTGAGATGCAGTGGGTCATCCGTATCTCCGTGGTGGTCGTGGGTCTGGCTGGCACCGGCCTCACCTTCCTGGACAGTAGCGTCCTGGTGTTCTGGCTTGTTGGCGTGGACATGTCCTACACCATAATGTTCCCTCAGCTGGTCTGCATCCTCTTCTTCAAGGTCTCCAACGGTTACGGCGCCATCGTGGGCTACATAATGGGGCTCGTCATGAGGATCCTGAGCGGCGAGCCCCTCATTGGCCTCCCACCAGCCATCCAGTTCCCCGGCTGCCGGCTGGACAAGGAGGGAAAGCTAACCCAGTACTTTCCCTTCCGTACCGCCATCATGCTCATCTCTCTAATGTCTATTCTCCTTGTTTCATTGTTGGCGTCCATCATTTTCAACAAGGGCCTGCTGCCGGAGAAGTGGGATGTGTTTAATGTCAAACGCAGGCAGAGAGCAACATCCAAGGTCGCACACGTTAAGAGGACCAACTCAGAAAAGGAAGGGGCTGCCGTGGCCAAACAGCTGCTGGACACCACCAGCTGCTGAGAAGTCTCACAACAAGGGGGAGAAAGGGTGGGCGCCGGCTGGAGGCATGTTTGTCTGCCGGCTGGGCACGATTTCACAGAGGGGGAACAGCAGCAAAGGCTGGATGCTTTATACAGTTTGTACAACACTGCTGACACAACAGCAGCAGATATGAGCTGAGCTCTCTGGTACCCGACCTATGAGCTGTTGTCTTCTAAAGAAAATACAGTAAAAAAAAAAATAGGCTTCCTGGCTAAAAGCCATAAACCTGTGTCGTATAACTAGCCACAATATTAACATTCACACAGACCCAGAATAAAATGTTGCAGTTTGTGCTGCATTCTATTTAAATCATTAGTCATTACTTAAAATGGAAACAAATTACATACAGTTCATTAAAACCATTTCATTTTTTCTTTTTTGC